AGTTGGGTTAACTTGAAGAGCAGTGAATGGTTTGGCACCACAAATATATATATATATATATATATATATATATATATATATATAAACATGTCGCACTACAAAAACATTAAAAAAAGGCAAGCAAAGCTTTTCTCAGAAATACATTTCTGAGCCATTTTTGGTATTTATTTTTGCCAATTAGTTCCAAGGTCATTTTAATCCCTTTCTAGGTGTTTTTGTGTTTCACTTAAATAGTTCTGTAGCATTACATGAATTTTTAAAAGTGCAAATATTCCATGTAGTCTCTAAATGAATACAAGGTCATAAAAAATGCTTGCAAAAAAAAACAAGCCGCAGTGGCCTGTTTCAGATCTCGTACCTGGACGTGGCAGGATGGGATGAGTTTGGATGTCAGATAAATATACACCCAAACCCCCTGATAGAGACCGAGTAACAGCATGAGGATTTATTTCAGCGATCAGAGAGCTAATACTGTTGACTTTCAATTCAGTGGCTTAAGATCTGTTATCTATATCTAGAGAGCATCCATGCCAGAGCTGTAATTAAAACAAGGACTCTATTGGCAATTTGAGACGAAGCCTTTAAAAGAAAAAGCCCCTCCGTTTTCCCTCTGCTCTCCCCAGAGGAAGCTAAACCTTCTCTGAATCTGGCCTCTAGACTGCACTGCTGAATAGACAAAGTACCACAACTCTGTCATAATTTCATACTTTCAATGGATCGTTCAGCTGTAGTCACTGCAATTAGTTTTCATTCATACATTTGTACAGTGTCGGCAGGAGACCAGTTTGCTGTTCCATTAGTGGTACTGGCCATTGAAAAAAATCTTGTTTTTTTAATACACAAAGGCGTCTATTCATGTAACTGCTGTGCAGCTGACAACAGACCCGCTCTCAAAAATAAAACACCAAAAAGGCTTTGAAGTGTGTTTCACACCAGCACAGAATCAAAAGTAAAATGTAGTTTAGACACAGCTTATTTTTGAGAGCAGGTATAAACAGCTTGGTCTATACCTGCGTTATAACTGTTTTGTTTTGTTTAAATACTTGCTTTTTCCACAATGTTAAGCAAAAGAAATGAATCTGGAAGTGATTTGATTAGAATAGCTGGATTGAGTTGTTGAATAGAAGTTGAGTATTTATTGGAAAGGCCACATGCATATATGCGCATATACACATTCTCTAAACTAATGGTTCTCAAAAGGTTTTTTGATTCCTGTGAACTTTATCTGAGACGATATTCAAAGGCCATTCTATCTAACCTGATGTGTATATAAAAACAAATAAGATTTTACACTGCTGTAACCATAAGCTATGCAGTGGTTGATTAGTCATGATGTCATAAACTAATAACAAATGGACATGTGCATTATTTTTAATAATTAGTATGTTTATAATTAATTTGCTTTTATATATTTTATATATTATGCTTTTTATATATAAGTTGTTTTTTATGATAAATTTATATTGTGTAATTATTGAAAAAAAAACATGAACTGTAATTTACAGTGAGCCACTTTGGGAGATACAAACACAAATTGTGGTCAAAACTGGTTGACTGGTTTAGGTTTTGTTGTTCTTGGACGAAACAAAAATCTCTGCTTTCAAAGTTATCCATATTCATATCTATTAGTTAGCTAGATGAAGTCATTTATAAATATATTGTTAAATTTGTGCTTTTTATAAATGTTATTTTTACTGAAAATTTTATTTATTTCATGTGCATACTATTAATATGCAGTTATATAAGAAATGTTTAATATAAATGCATATTATATAACTAAATAAATCATTATTTACAAGTAAAGTAAATAAACATTAATATTATTTTAATATTAAAATAAAATAAATAAATACAAATAAATAAATAAATAAATATGGGTTAAATATTTACTGAATTGTCAAGACAGAAAAAACTGAACTGTTATGGCAAACTCATTGTGACATCTAAAAATGCACATTTCCATTTATTTATTTATGTATGTATGTATATATTCTGGCACTAAGTGCTGCTCTGTTTGTGTGTTATAACTAAGCCAGAAGCTTTATTTATTTTTTTCTGTAGCCTATTTCTGCTTCCTGCAAAGCTACTTTTAAAGTAAGTGTTTTTAGTAAAGTGTAGTATTACTGTATGGACCAGCGTTATAATTGTATAGGTTTAAGTGCTTTCAGTCATATGGCACTTGCTCTCCCAGTGTGGGAGTTTGGAGCAACTCCTTTGAGCAAACAGATCATCTGATCTCTGACCTGAGCTAATCAGGCACAAATTTGGCATATCAGAAGCCTGTCTTCACGTCCTGTGCCTCCACTTCTATTTACATACTCCCTGAACCTAGATTTTCCCTTTTTCGTCTTTAGTCTTTGTGACATCTGAGTTCATCCATCCTCTTAAATTGAAACATTATGACATCAACACCCTCCCCCCAAAAAGCTCTTGTTGAAATCTGATTACATAACAAGATTAACCCCAGAGGTTTAGACCTGCCACCTAGTGCTGCTAGTCCAAAAAAAAAAAAATTTTTTAAAAAGAGTTGGAATGTTTGTTTTTGAGAGCAGTTCTTTTAGCGTCAGGTCTTTACCGTTTCCTTATAATTTTGTGATGGCAATGATGCATTGATTTTGAGACATTTCAGGAATGTACATGTTAATACTGTTGCAGAGCTGGAATTCAACAAGATGACAGTAACAGAAGATGCACCAACCTGCACTTAAAAAGGAGAACACAGTGTTTTTAGAAAAGGGCGCAGCGGTGCTTAGCAGACAGTTATCTGTGTTTTCTCTGTAAACAGCCTATTCGCTGCAGGGTTGTATTGGGATGTGGGAGATTAGCTTTTCATCAAGACTAAAGGAAAAGCTCCAGTGAAGGAAGGAGATTGTGGGGAGGAAGAGGAGAAGCCTAGGGCAGTTGCTTTTCTTTGTTAGGCTTTGTGCTGTGTGGCCTTGCCTGTTTGTTTTCCATACTCTGCATCTGAACAAGCCTCTTTTGATTTCTCGCAGGACGGTGGCCTACAGTTCCAGCAGACCCAGGCCTGGGGAAATCATTAACCAAAAACAAAGCACAACAGGACACTGGTAGGTTGTGTGGCCTTACCTCTCTGTCTTGTACAGTAGCTGAATATATGTGATATGCTCCATCAGAATGAGTCATGTAAGTTGTAATGGGCAACCTTTGATAATTTTGGATTTTGCTGTTTTTGGGGAAAAAAAATTCAAAAACATTCTATTTACCTTAGTTATTTATATATATTAGGGCTGTGAATCGATTAAAATATTTAATCGTGATTAATCGCATGATTGTCATGAGTTAACTCGTGATTAATCGCAACTTAATCGCACATTTTTATGTGTTCTAAATGTACCTTAAATTAATACTTTTCACGTTTTTAATACTCTAATCAACATGGGCATGGACACATGGATGCTTTATGCGTGTCCATAGATAATTATGTCTCTGCTCCTTTAATAGTGAAGACAGGTGTTCCTCAAGGATCAATTTTGGGGCCAATTTTATTTTCTATCTATATAAATGAACTTGGTAAAGGAGTTGAGCCAGCAAATGTACACTTTTATGCAGATGATGCTATCATCTACTACACTATGGCTCCCTCTTTAAAAGTGGCAATGGACTCTTTACAGAATGCTTTTAATTTATTTCAGACTTCTCTTGGTAACTTAAAATTAGTGTTGGATGCTAAAAAAACTAAATACAAGATTTTTACACGGTCCAGATTATCATTTAATTATTTTATGATTCAAACTTTAAATGGTACACAGATTGAAACGGTTGCATCTTACAAATATCTTGGTATCTGGCTCGATGATAAGCTAACTTACAGTTCTCATATCGATAGTCTTTTAAAGAAATTGAGACCAACGTTTATTTTTGTTTAAAAAAACGTTTCTCCTTTGTTGCTCGAAAACGTTTAGTACAAAGTACTCTTCTATCAGTATTGGACTATGGTGATATAATTTATATGCATGCACCTCTGAATCTTTTGAAAAAATTGGATGTAGTTTATCATGCTGCTTTACGATTTGTTACTGGTACAAGTGTCCGCACACATCACTGTAATTTATATGAAATGACAAAATGGACTTCATTGTTCTTAAGCAGAAAAAAACATGTTAATTTTTATTTTAAAAGCTTTAGTGGGTAAATTACCACAGTATATATCACATCACTAGGTTCTGTCATTCAGAAACATGGCTTTTCATATCACTGCTATGCTGATGACACTCAACTCTACCTCTCATTCCATCCTGATGATCCGACGATAGCTGCTCGCATCTGCGTTAGGCTAACCGAGACTTGTCATTTGCACTTATATATTGTTGCTCTTTTGTTCGTTTTGACTTTATTTATTGTCCTCATTTGTAAGTCGCTTTGGATAAAAGCGTCTGCTAAATGACTAAATGTAAATGTATATATCTAGTTTGTTAAAATACTGCACAAATTATTATTATTATTATGCACAAAAATTTATTAATACCAGATCAACAGATAAACTCTTACTTAAGATGCCGATTTTTCATACAGCGATAGATCGTTCTGCTTTTTCTAATTATGCTCCGTATGTATGGAATGAGCTTCAAGGTACATTACATATGGAATCTGTACCATCTATCGCTATGTTTAAAAATATTTTAAAGTCTGTTTATATAGAACAGTGTACATGTTTTAATAACTGACTAGGATTTGTATTGTTTTTAGAAAATTGTGTTTTAT